GATGAATAAACAGCTAAAACTGATGAATGAACAACTAAAACAGATGAATAAACAGCTAAAACTGATGAATTAACAGCTAAAACTGATGAATAAACAGCTAAAACTGATGAATTAACAGCTAAAACTGATGAATAAACAGCTAAAACTGATGAATTAACAGCTAAAACTGATGAATAAAAAGCTAAACTGATGAATGAAGAGCCAAAACTGATGAATAAACAGCTAAAACTGATGAATGAACAGCTAAAACTGATGAATGAACAGCTAAAACTGATGAATTAACAGCTGAAACTTATGAATAAACAGCTAAAACTGATGAATAAACAGCTACAACTGATGAATAAACAGCTAAAACCGATGAATAAACAGCTAAAACCGATGAATAAACAGCTAAAACCAATGAATAAACAGCTAATACTGATGAATAAACAGCAAAAACTGACGAATAAACAGCTACAATAGATGAATAAACAGCTAAAACTGATGAATAAACAGCTAATACTGATGAATTAACAGCTAAAACTGATGAATAAACAGCTAAAACTGATGAATAAACAGCTAAAACCGATGAATAAACAGCTAAAACCAATGAATAAACAGCTAATACTGATGAATTAACAGCTAAAACTGATGAATAAACAGCTAAAACTGATGAATAAACAGCTAATACTGATGAATTAACAGCTAAAACTGATGAATAAACAGCTAAAACCGATGAATAAACAGCTAAAACCGATGAATAAACAGCTAAAACTAATGAATAAATAGCTAAAACTAATGAATTAACAGCTAAAACCGATGAATAAACAGCTAAAACTGATGAATAAACAGCTAAAACGAATGAGTAAACAGCTAAAACCGATGAATTAACAGCTAAAACTGATGAAAAAATAGCTAAAACTGATGAATAAACAGTGAAAACTGATGAATAAACAGCTTTAGGACACAATGATTTTACTCACCTGTGTTTTCATGAACAGGGGGGTAAGATCCCTGTCCGATGGACCGCACCTGAAGCCATCCAGTACCGTAAATTCACCTCTGCCAGTGATGTGTGGAGTTATGGCATCGTCATGTGGGAGGTCATGTCCTACGGGGAGCGGCCTTACTGGGACATGTCCAATCAAGATGTAAGTGATGCATCACCATCAGAGAGATCAGAGTTTACATTATAATCTGGATTATATTATTTTCATTCTATGAGTATTATTGTTGACTGTTCACACAGCTGAGCACAAAGGTCAGGTTGCTGTTCCTCCTGGAAAAAAAACAGCCTTTAACTGTGAGTCTGAACTTTGACTTGATGACAGAAGAGCTATATCGTTTTTTCTGTTGAAAGCTGTAAAAGCTGAAGCTGAGCTGAAGTGAAAACAAGCATAACAACAGCTAAACGAGTGAAATACAAGCTGAAAGCTATGAGCRGCAAAACAGCAGGACATAATGAAATCATTTCTCAACATGGGATGATCTCTGTGTGAATGTATGGCAGCACAGGGGGCGGGTGATATGCATTCCTTCCAGGATGGAGTAGAGAAGGAATTCAAACATGAAGCTGAGTAAAAATCAAAAAGACGAATATCAAACCTGTCTTTATCCTGTTAGAAGTCCTGGATGATCTGAAACAAGTTTGAATAAAAGATTTTCCCTCATTTTGTTTGTCATCCTGTTTAATAACGTTTAGTGAATCACAACTGCCCCAAATGTCCAGCAGTAAAGTCATGTCCACCAGGGATGGAGGACTTAAGTCTCATTATGGTTTTCCTGGTCTCGGTCTCAGAATGTTTTTCCTGGTCTTGGTCTCGTTATGGTTTTCCTGGTCTCGGTCTCGTTGTGTTTTTCCTGGTCTCGGTCTCGTTGTGTTTTTCCTGGTCTCGGTCTTGTTATGGTTTTCCTGGTCTTGGTCTTGTTATAGTTTTCCTGGTCTCGATCTCGTTGTGGTTTTCCTGTCTCGGTCTCATTATGTCTTTCCTGGTCTTGGTCTCATTATGGTTTTCCTGGTCTAGGTCTCGTTGTGTTTTTCCTTGTCTTGGTTTCGTTATGGTTTTCCTGGTCTCGGTCTCGCTGTGGTTTTCCTGGTCTCGGTCTCNTTGGTGCGTGTTGGTGCGTGTTGGTGCGTGTTGGTGTGTGTTGGTGTGTGTTGGTGTGTGTTGGTGTGTATTGGTGTGTATTGGTGTGTATTGGTGTGTATTGGTGCGTGTTGGTGTGTATTGGTGTGTGTTGGTGTGTGTTGGTGTGTGTTTGAGGGGAAGAAGCCATCAACGTGTAAACCCTGACCGGTCGTAGCTGTCGAGTCTTTCTTGGGTCTCAGCTGCAGTGGAGGCACAGAAAGTGTTTTAATGACATTAAGTGACACGAGACACAGAGAGGATCAATAATCAGAGACAAACTGGGATCAACAAAGAGAAATTAGACCACTTGTTTGTGTTTTAATTTTACACACGCAAAGGAAATTGAAATACAGTTAAGTTTGTTAAATTCTCATTTAAAGGTGTATATACTGTTAGCACCTTTATTTCAGCCCCAGACTAAAAAAAACAGGTAATTAATTGTGGATCTGATTATATCCATCTAATAAAGAGCTTATCTTTATCAGAATTAGTCAGTATAAATAGACTTTTGTTTTGTTTTTTTGATTTGACAGGAAGAAACAATTTTTTAACAAAAAAATGTTTTTACTTTAAGAACATAATTTTATTTCCATTTAGGATGGATGGAACAGCAACATAAAACTGTCGTTGATGTAGAAGCCAGGGGTTGGATTTACATGACTGGTTCATTATTAATTTCTTTTCTTTTCTTTAGACAGGTAATCTCATTGAGATATCAGGTCTTATTAAAGATCTGTTAGCGGTTAGCGTTAGCTTCCACCATTTTTAAAATCTGTTTAAGATTAGTGGAGTTAGGATTTATATTTAGTGAGTTGGTGGTTAGTGAAGCTAACTTATTGATTAGCTGTGACCACCACTGAGTATTAGTAGTTGAAAGGCATTAATGTTATTAATATTATTTTTGATATTAAACCAAAACTGCTGTTTTATAAAGATAATTCTGTAGTTTTGAACTGTGATGAAACTTTAATTGTTTATCATTTGAACAAAGAGCCCCTCCTCCAAAGATCTGAACGATCTCATTAAGTTTCCACATGAATTTTAATTAAAGCGCTCCTTCACATTTCGTTTCAAGATAATCCATCATCCCGACACCATCAACCCATTTCCTCTCCTCTTTTTCCACCTTCGTCCCTCCTCTGTTCAAGGTTGTTACAGAGAGGCTCGGTCTGATTTACAGCAAACTTAACGAGAGAGAAGAGAGAGGAGGATGAAGAAGTCCTTCATGCATCCTTGAATCTTTGTGGGTGGGTTGAGTAAACGCAGCAGATTTCAAAAAGACATGTGTAGAGAGTCTTCAGCTCCTCTCTTCTCTTCTGTCTCGCCTCAGGCAGGACTTTAGTCTGATGATTCACGTGTCATCAGTAACTTCAGCTGTCACACAGAGAACAGTTTGTTAGTGACAGAGCTGATATAATGCTCACATATTTGGTTCACATTTACTGAGAAGTCTCATTAGGACATGTATTTACAATCTGTTCTTGTGTATAAAGCATGTTTACTGTATTCTGTGTGCAAAGACTAACCACACATGCATGTTAGCACCAAATGTCTACATTTGTTTTGAACAGGGAAACCATCAAGAATTGTTCAATTCTGTGCCAGAATGTCAAAATTGGTTTATTCTTGGTTCTGGCCTCCAAATCTGAGTTTACAGTCCTCAGTCAGAAAAGACTGGATTCTGATGACAAGTGAGGCAATCAATCAATCAATCAATCAATCAATCAATCAATCAATCAATCAATCAGTCAATCAGTCACTCTATCAGTCAATCAATCAATTAATCAATCAACCAACCAACCAGTCAATCAATCAACCAACCAACCAGTCAATCAATCAATCAATCAATCAATCAATCAATCAATCAATCAATCACCTTTTATTTAACCACATAAAACAAATTGAGATCAAATTTCCTTTCTAAGGAATGCAGGGTCTTACAGAGATGGTCCTGGCAGGTTTTAGGGTCTTACAGTGACGGTCCTGGCAGGTTTTAGGGTCTTACAGTGACGGTCCTGGCAGGTTTTAGGGTCTTACAGTGACGGTCCTGGCAGGTTTTAGGGTCTTACAGTGACGGTC